CCCAAGCCCCTCGCACACAAACCACCTTTAACCCCCTCCCTCCAATCTTTCCTAGGCTGAACCCCTAAACCCCCCCATCCTTCCACTACAAACTGATACACTCTTGAAAGTCACTGCTGGTTTCGCTCCATACTCTCTACCTGTCCGAACCACCTCAACAACCCTTCCTCAGCCCTCTGGACAACAGTTTTGGTAATCCCGCCACCTCCTTCATAACTTCCAAACTACAATTCTCTGCATTATATTCACACACACATTGCCCACAGACATGACATCTCCACGCTGCAACATTCATCATCCATGCTTCACACCCATATAAAAGAGCATTGGTAAAACATACTCCATGACATTCCCCTCTTTGCCTCCAAGGACAAAGTTCTTAGCTCCACAGACTCCTAAGTGCTCATCCACTCACCCTTTTTTATTTTTTTTTATTATCACAATCTCGGCCGGATTCCCACCAAGGCAGGGTGGCCCCCGAAAAAGAAAAACTTTCACCATCAATACACTCCATACTGTCTTGCCAGAAGGGTGCTTTACACACTATGACAGTTTTTAAAACTGCTAAACATTAACACCCCCCCCTCCTTCAGAGTGCAGGCACTGTTACTTCCCATCTCCAGGACTCAGTCCGGCCCTGCCGGTTTTTCCCTGATTCCCTTCATAATGTTACTTTTCTCACACTCCAACAGCACGTCAAGTATTAAAAAAAAACCACATTTATCTCAATTCACTCCTATCATACACGCTCACGGCATGCCCTGATGGAAGTCCCCGGCCCCTCGACACAAAACCCTCCTTTAACCACCCCCTCCCTCCAACCCTTCCTAGGCCGACCCCTACCCCCCGCCTTCCTTCCACTACAGACTGAAACACTCTTGAGTCATTCTGTTTTCGCTCATTCTCCTACATTTCCGAACCCACCTCAACCAACCCTTCCTCAGCCCTCTGGACAACAGGTTTGTAATACCCCGCACCTCCTCCCAACTTCCAAACTAACGAATTCTCTGCATTATTATTCACACCACACATTTGCCCTCAGACATGACATTCTCCACTGCCTCCAGCCTTCTCCTCGCTGCAAACATTCATCACCTCACGCTTCATCACACCCATATAAGAGCGTTGTAAAACTATATTCTCATATACAACCCCCTCTTTGCCTCCAAGGGGACAAAGTTCATTGTCTCCACAGAACTCCTAAGTGCACCACTCATCTCTTTTTCCTCAACAATCTATGATTTCACCTCATCTTTCATAGACCCATCCGCTGACCACGTCCACTCCCAAATTCTGAAATACGTTCACCTCCTCCATACTCTCCTCCCCTCCACTCAGATATTCAATCCATTTCATCACCTAATCTTTTGTTATCCTCATAACCTTACTCTTTCCCTGTATTCACCTTTAATTTTCTTCTTTTGCACACCCTACCAAATTCATCCACCAATCTCTGCAACTTCTCTTTCAGAATCTCCCAAAGCACAGTGTCCATCAGCAAGAGCATCTGTGACAACTACTCCCACTTTGTGGTGATTACTTTATTTTTAACTCCACGCCTCTTGCCAAGACCCTCGCATTACTTCCTCTTACAACCCCATCTATAAATATATAAACAACCACGGTGACATCACACATCCCTTGTCCTAAGGCCTACTTTTACTGGGAATAAAATTCCCTACCCGCTTTCTACATACTCTAACGTGAAGCCTCACTATCCTCGTAAAAACTCTTCACTGCTTTCAGTATACATACCTCCTACCCACCAAAACCCTACACTTGCAACATCTGCCACATTGCCCCCCTACCACACCTGTCATACGCCTTTTTCCAAATCATAAATGCCACAAAGACCTCATTAGCCTTATCTAAATACTCTTCAACTTATATTTTCACTGTAAACAACATGGTCCAGCACACCCCCTACCTTTCCTAAAGCCCCCTTGTTCATCTGCTATCCATTCTCCGTCTTACTCTTTAATTCTTTCAATTATTAACTTTACCATACACTTTTACCAGGTATCACTCAACAGACTTATCCCCCTATATTTTTGCACTCGCTCTTTTATCCCCTTTGCCTTTATACTAAAGGACCTATGCATGCTCCTGCCAATCCCTAGTACCTTACCCCTCTTCCATACAATTTATTAAATAATTGCACTCAACCACTCCAAAACTATATCCCCACCTGCTTTTAAAAATTTCTATCTTTATCACCTCCCATCAATCCCCCCGGCTGCCTTACCCCTTTCATTTACCTACTGCCTCACGAACTTCCCCCACACTCACGACCTGGCTCTCCGCTCACTCCTACAGAGTTATTCCGCCCCTTGCCCTATACACGAAAATCACAGCTTCCTATCTTCAACACATTTAACAATTCTCTAATATTCCTTCCTCTCCCAATACCTCTACTCTCCATTTAATACTCTCCCTCCTATTTTTTAAACTGACAAATCCATTTGTTCTCTAGGCTTTACTTAACTTGTTAAACTCACCCAAAACTTTTTCTTATTTTCAACAAAATTTTGTTGATAACAATCTCACCCACTCTCTCATTTGCTCTCTTTTTAACTTTGCATCAACCACTGTCTCTTAACTTCTCTCTTTTTCTCCATATACTCTTCCCTCCTTGCATCACTTCTACTTTGTATAAACTTCCATATCTATCTTTTTCTCCCTTACTACTCTCTTTACACATCATCCACCAATCGCTCCTCTTCCCCTCCTGCACCCACTTTCCTGTAACCACACACATCTGCTGAACACTCTAACACTACATTTTTAAACCTACCCCATACCTCTTCTCTTCGTCCCCATTGCCATGCTCTCATAGCCCATCTACCTCCAATAGCTGTTTATATCTTACCCTAACTGCCTCCTCTTTTAGTTTATAAACATTCACCTCTCTCTTCCTATTGCTCAATTCCCTTGTATCCCATCTACCCTTTTTACTCTCAGTGTAGTCTACAACCTAGAAAGTGATCTGATATATCTGTGGCCCCTCTAAAACATGTACACCTGAAGTCTACTCAACAGTCTTTTATCTACCAATACATAATCCAACAAACTACTGTCATTTCGCCCTACAAATCATATCGTGTAACTTATTTACTCTTTTTCTTAAAATATGTATTACCTATAACTAAAAAACCCCTTTCTATACAAAGTTCAATCAAAAGGGCTCCCATTATCATTTACACCTGGCACCCCAAACTTACCGTACCACACGCTCTCTAAAAGTTTCTCCTACTTTAGCATTCAAGTCCCCTACCACAATTACTCTCTCACTTGCTTCAAAGGCCCTATACTTCACCTAACATCTCCCAAAATCTCTCTCTCACCTCTGCATTCCCTCTCTTCCTCTCCATTAGCATACACGCTTATTATTGACCACTTGCTCACATCCAACCTTTACTTTAATCCACATAAATTCCTTGAATTTACACATTCATATTCTCCTTTTCTCCTTCCATAACTGATCATTTAACATTACTGCTACCTCCCTCCTTTGCGCTAACTCTCTCAGATACTCCAGATTTAATCCCATTTATTTCCCCCCACTGAAACTCTCCTACCCCCTTCACTTTGTTTCGCTTAGGCCAGGACATCCAACTCTTTTCATTCCATAAAAAACAATTATTGCACCCAGCAAACATCTGTTTCTTGTATCCGCACTACATCCACGCACATTTAATCAACCCAGTATTTTATAAAGTTTTTCTCTTCCTCATCAATTCTATGATTCACCTCCATCTTTCATAGACCCCAGCCCGCTGACACGTCCCACTCCCAATATCTGAATACATTCACCTCCTCCATACTCTCTCCCTCACTCTGATATCCAATCTTTCATTACCTAATCTTTTTGTTAATCCTCATAACCTTACTCTTCCCTGGTATTCACTTTTTATTTTTCTCTTTTTGCATACCCTACCAAATTCATCCCCCAGTCTCTGCAACTTTCTCTCAATCTCCCCAGAGTCACAGTGACACAGCAAAGAGCAACTGTGACAACTCCCACTTTGTGTGATTCTTTAATCTTTTAACTCCACGCCTCTTGCCAAGACTCCTCGCATTTACTTTTTTACAAACCCATCTATAAATATATTAAACAACCACGGTGACATCACACATCCTTGTCTAAGGCCTACTTTTATTGGGAAATAATTTCCCTCTTTCCTACATACTCTAACTTGAGCCTCACTATCCTCGTAAAAACTCTTCACTGCTTTCAGTAACCTACCTCCTACACCATACACCTGCAACATCTGCTACATTACCCCCCTATCCACCCTGTCATACGCCTTTCCGAAATCCATAAATGCCACAAAGACCTCTTTAGCCTTATCTAAATACTGTTCACTTTTGTGTTTCACTGTAAACACCTGGTCCACACACCCCCTACCCTAAAATACAACCTAAAATACAACCCCTAAAATTCAACCATAAATACCATATGAAAATACACTGCAAAGTCGCTATTTTAAACCAAAAACACGATTGGAGTTTTTTTTTTTTCTCATTATGTACTGTGTGCTGCAGGATTTTTTTTTTTTATACTGTGCACACTGACTACATAGACCCATTCTTTCATATGTAGGCCTACCAGCTTTCTCTCACTAGATTTGAAGGTGCTAAAATTTAGGCGTACTAGCATGTCAATAACCCTGGTGCATAAGCCATACTAATACGTCAGAAACCCTGAAAGGGTTAATAAAAATATAGTCTTATAATATTATTTTATGAAAAAAAATGTTTCCAAGAAAGTAAACAGGGATTTTAGGCACTTTTAACTACAGACTGGATATTGATAATCAGTGTCTAGACACTTCGTATTCACATTTGCAGGAAGAATTCAGTTAAAGAATTAGTATGAAAATTCTTACTTGGCTCTTTTGTTTTAATCAACACATCCACTGTATTTTTAGAAAATACTAGAAACCTGTCCAATGTACAGATGAAAAAAGTGAAGATAAGTAATTTTTTTTTTTTTTCAGAGGGTCTCGCACAAGCTCAGAGAGAGATGCACTCGTATATCTATCAAGAGAGAACCCAGACATTGCTGATGCCCTAGTACCCAAAAACCAAGCCTGGAAATCAGATGACTTTTGTATTTAATTTTTCATTTGGATAGTGTTTATGCTTAAATAGAATTTTCATATATGTTTTTAGGCTAGTATTACTGTTTTTGCTTAAAACAGTTGAACACTAAAATGTCTTGCCGTCCCATTGAACACTCATGCAGGCTCTATCCAGAATAATCCAACCATGCTAATAATCAGTTCCCAGTGGATTCTAGTTTGCATTTCTGAAATTCCCATTCCAACCCACTATAGTATACCTCAGCAGTTCTTTCTGAATGCAAGCCACTCCCAAACAGTTTAACCACCCATTAGAATTATGTTTTAAAAACAGGTATTCTTTCAATGTGTTTTCCAATCATAATATTGATGGATAAGTGAAAGCATTTGGCAAGTGTTTGCATAAAGTTTTGGAATAGATGGAAGCATAGTATAATTTCAATGAATACTAAACCAGTGTAGGATAGAACCCTCAATGAGTGGCAGAGGCTTATCAATATCCAGCTAATTGTGGCCTATCTCTGAAAAGCAGGATGTTGGGTGTTAGTAAAGTGGGTGTTGAACAAAAATGCTGTAAATAATTAGTGTACAAAGATATTTGTACTTGCACAAACACATCTGGGAGGAATTACTAAGTGGAGAGGTCACAGACGGCCAATCTCCTTTGGTGCATGCATTCTCAGACAATTCCTCAAAGCTTGGCCCTTAGTACAGTACAAGTGGACCCACACCTAACAAAGAGCCAACGCATAACGTTAAATTCCTCCAGCGATACATTTTAAAAAACGCAAAAATTTTTCCTAACGCTAGCTCTAAAAAACTCGCTCAAACGCGAATTCGTTCGAGAACTCATCCAGAGCGGCCCTGACACGCCACACTTGTTCCATGAGTGCCAGTGTTTACAGACCAGCCAACCGCGGTCCCGAATCCAAGCAAACCAATCGGAACATTTCATATAATCACACCTTTTTAGTGACTGCACCTGCAAAATAGTCACCCCATGGGGCCCCAAGAAAGCTTCTAGTAGTGCCAACCCTACCAGAAAAAAGGGTGGAGAATTACTATGGATATGAAAAAGAGATCATTGCTAAGTATGAAAGTGGAGTGTGGTCTCCGAGCTGTGGGCCAGGTATGTACACAAAACCCCAAACAACCATCGCATACCTATAGTGGCCAAAAAAACGCAATCAAGGAGCTGTTCTTGCCAAAGGTGCAAACTTTGTTTTCGAAACTGAGATCGCAAGTGATAGAAGATTTGAGAGACTGTCTATTGGTGTAGAGTAAACGTAAACATAATAGCAGGAGAATAGCATCTCCAAGCGATTCATAATGGGAAAAAAGCTAGGAAGGTTGCATGAGATTTAATTGAAAAATCCTGCAACAAGTGGTGATGTAAGTGAATTTAAGGCCAGCAAAGGTTGGTTTGAGAGATTTAAGAATTCGAAGAGGCATAACATAGTGTTGATAAGGCATGTTGAGCTGCCAGTTCGGACCCCGAAAGTGGCTGAAAAAATAATTTTTTTTATTTTTTTTTTATTTATTATCACACTGGCCCGAATACCCACCAAGGCAGGGTGACCTGAAAAAGAAAAACTTTCACCATCGATCACGATCCATCACTTCTTGCCAGAAGGGTGCTTTAACACTACATTTTAAACTGCAACATTAACACCCCCCTCCTTCAGAGTGCAGGCCTGTACTTCCTATCTCCAGGACTTCGAGTCCGGCCTGCCTGTTCCCTGAACCCCTCATAAATTATACGTTGCTCACACTCCACAGCCATCTTCAAGTATTAAAAACCATTTGTCTCCATTCTCTCCTATCAAACACGCTCACAGCATGCCTGCTGAAGTCCCAAGCCCCTCGCACATACAAAACCTCCCTTTACCCCCCTCCGCTCCAACCTTTTCCTAGTCCGACACCTACAACCGCCTTCCTTCCACTACAACTGATACCCTTGAGTCACTCTGTTCGCACCATTCTCTCTTACATGTCCGAACCACCTCAAACAACCCCTTCCTCAGCCCTCTGGACAACAGTTTTGGTAAATCCCGCACCTCCTCCTAACTTCCAACTAACGAATTCTCTGCATTATATTCACACCCCACATTGCCCTCAGACATGAAACATCTCCACTGCCTCCATACCTCTTCCTCGCTGCAACAATTCACACCCAAGCTTCAACAACCTATAAGGACGTTTGGTAAAACTATACTCACATACGTTCCCCTCTTTGCCTCCAAGGACAAAGTTCTTTGTCTCCCACAACTCCTCAGTGCAACCATCACCCTTAACCCCTCATCAATTCTATTAATCACCTATCTTCATAGACCCACCTCTGACACGTCCACGTCCCAAATATCTGAATACATTCACCACCTCTCATACACCTCTCCCTCCAATCTGATATCCAATCTTCATCACCTAATCTTTTGTTATTCCCCATACCTTAACTCTTTCCTGTATTCACCTTTAATTTCTTCTTTTGCACACCCTACCAAATCATTCCACCCATCTCTGCAGCTTCTCTTCAGAATCTCCCAAGAGCACAGTGTCCCATCAGCAAAGAGCAACTGTGACAACTCCCACTTTTGTTTGATTCTTTATCTTTTTAACTCCCAACGCCTCTTGCCAGACCCTCGCATTTACTTCTCTTACAAACCCCTTCTATAAATACAGTGACCCCCGCTAGCGAACTGTCCTTGCATAGCGAACATTCCGCATAGCGAAACGCTATTGTCCGCTAAAATTTTGCCCCCCGCCAATATAGACAAAAACCCCCCTTCCCCCCCTCAACCCCCCACCCCCGCTCAGCGAACATCGTTCGAGACGCGTCCCAATGTGGGGCCCTCAGCCAGCCTCACCATGTGCCGCCCGTGCCATTGTTTACCATCTAGCCTCCGCGGTAACGACATTCCAAGCATACACTCGAATATTTCGTATTATTACAGTGTTTTCCGTGCTGTTTGTGGAAAATAAGTGACCATGGGCCCCAAGAAAGCTTCTAGTGCCAACCCTACACCTCAAAGGGTAAGAATAACCCATTTGAAAATTAAGAAAGAAATCATGATAAGTATGAAAGTGGGAGTACGAATCACCGACACTGGTCAGGTTTGTACAAGAAACCAAAATCAAACCATCGCTTTTATCTGTGGAAAGAAAAGAACGCAATCCAAGGAAGCTGTTGTTGCCAAAGGTTAACTGTGTTTTCAAACAAAGATCGCAAGTGAGGAAGATGTAGAGAGACCTCATATTGTGTGGATAAATGAAAAACAGCTAGCAGGAGATAGCGTCTCTCAATCGATCATATGTTGAAAAGGCTGCAGTTCATGACGATTTAATAAAAAAATGCCTGCAACTAGTGAAAGATGTGAGTGAATTTAAAGGCCAGCAAAGGTTGGTTTGAGAGATTAATGAAGCGTAGTGGCATCCCTAGTGTGATAACGGCATGTGAGGCGCCAGTTCGGACCACAAAGCGGCTGAAATATATGTGCATGAATTCAAGGAGTACAATAGAAACTAAGGACTGGCACCTGACAAGTGTATAATTGTGATTGAAACAGGCCTGTTCTGGAAGAAAAAGCCAAGCAGGACCTACATTACTTTCAGGAGGAAAAGGCACACCCAGGACATAAGCCTATGAAAGACAGGCTTAAAAAACTCTCTCAAGTGCGCCAAACTACTGGTGATTGCAAAGTTAAGCCTTTATTAGTGTATCACTCTGAAACTCCCAGAGCGTTCAGCAAATGAATGTCCTCAAGGATAATTTTGTGTGTGCTGTGGAGGGCAAACATAAGGCATGGGTCACTAGGGAATTTTCTATAACGGTTACAAACCATGCATTTGCCCCTACCCAAAGTGAAAAGATTACCTTACTGAAAAAAAACTTAGACCTTAGTGCCTCCTGGTGTAGACATTGCCCTGGTCATCCCGTACAGACGTGGCAGAGCGACTTTATGGGACATGAGCTTCATTAAGGTGAAGTTTTTGCCTCCTAATACCCACTCCTCTCCAGCAAGCCCAATGGACCAGCAGGTCATTTTCCAACTTCAAGAAACTGTACACAAAAGCGCTGTTTTACAAAGTGCTTTGGAAAGTACCACAGACACAGGATTGACTCTAAAAGATTTGAAGGACACTTAATATCCTCAGTTGTGTAAACCTTATAGTAAGGCTTGGGAGGAGTGACTAAGAGAACCTTAACTCTGCTTGGAAGAAACTTGCCAAATATGTAGACAAAAGGATTTTGGAAGGTTTGAGGGCCTAACCCTGAGAGGAGTAGTAATACCAGTTGAGGAATCAATTGTGGAATTGGGGAAGTTTCCTTTGGTTGGAGATAGTGGGGAGATGTGGAAGATTGGTGGAGGAGGACAATGAAGAACTAACCACTGATGAGCTGATATATCAACTCAAGAGCAAGAGGCCAGACCTGGGCAACTGGATCATAGGAGGGGAAGAGAGAAATTGAAGGAATTTGCCTACTTCTAAAGATAAGGAAATGTGTGCAAATATGGCTTGAAGTCAAACCATGTTTTGTGAAAAATCACCCACACACAGCTATGCAAGCCTTGCTGGTGACTATTACAATGACACTGTTGTGAAACACTTTAGGAAAGTCATAAAGGAACGAGAGGTGCAGGCCACTAGTGACAGATATGTTTGTGGCGAAAGAAAGCCAGGACTCTGAAGCTGGTCCCTATGGCATAAAAAAGAATGGAATTAACCCCAAAAAGGACTTGCTACCTCAAGTCTATGGAAAGGGGATTCCCCTTCTAAACACTAACTACTCTCTCTCACCCACCTCCCACCCATCAATCATCACCAATCTTAAATAAAAGTAAGTGTCAGTAATTGGGATGCCTTTTTCAGTTTGTGTGTACTAAAAATAACATTTTTTTGTGTAAAAAAATTTTTTTTTCATACATTTGGTGTCATTGCACGGATTAATTTTATTTCCATTTATTTCCTTATGGGGAAAATTAACTTCGCATAGCGAACATTTCGCATAACGACCAGACCCTCTTGCACGGATTAAGT